TTTTACATAATAACTATTTGTGCCTTTTTTTCAGGTGAATTTGCTCAATGGTCTTAAAGAGTCCACATATGACATGCTAGACGCTACAAGGACAAATGTTGTTGAGAATATTAGAACCGAAAATAGAAAACACAATGTGATCCAAGAGGATGCTGAAAACAATCCGTTTCTTGTGTCAAAGCGTGCAAAATCGGATAAGGAATCACCCAGTAATGAATCAACTCATAATCAAAGCATTCGAAATCAGATAGTAAAGCGTTCAGTGATGAAAGTGATTTATCATGAGAATCTGATGAAAATAAGGAAGATGAGGATGACAAAAAGATAAACAAAAACCAATGCTGTTTTATTTTGTGGGACCAGCAGATATAGAAACGAATAAATTTAAAATTCACAATAAGGTAATCTTTTTGATTATTGTAAATAAGTGCATAGATTACGATTCACAGGCAGAAGTTGGCTATTTAATTTTACATTATTTATACAGTTTTTTTTATTTTATTATAATTGGTTTTCATTTTTTTCGTTTGATTTTTTTCATGCTTTTCGTAAATAATATTGAACTTATTAGCTAATTAGACAAACTTCTGCCTATGACCACGATTTTTATTTAAATTGTAAATTGATTAATGATTCTAATACGAAGTGGTGATAAAATTGAGTCTATTATTTCCGAATTCTAGTGCATAGATGCTTTGACAATAGATTAATTGAATTATAAATTATATTTATTTTTTTTATCTAGTGGATATTAAATGAGACCAGTATATCATATCTATTCTTTCAATTTCACGAACTTTCAATCATGAAAGCATCAAATGGAAAGATTGAAAGGGCAAGTGAGATATTGTAAGTTAATCAATCTATTTATAAATGAATTGAATTCTGATGTTGACCTTAATGCTTACACAATAATTATAAGTCTTTTAATCATATTTTTTGATCAAAGATTCGGAAAACGATGGCCATATTATTGATAGAAAGCTCTGGAATAATGCTATTTATTAAGTTTACCAAGAATATTCATTACCTAACCTGCCAGACAATTGGCTGTCTAAATGCAATAAAATGGCTAAGATAAAAATTATACTGTCAATTAGTTTGTAATGCTATATAATTTATTTGCATGTTTTGTAATTAGATGGCTTGAAATGATTTTAAGAACAGCAAATCATTGCTTAGAAACTGGTACAATTCAAGTAACGGGGAATCTGATTATATAATATTCGGCGTGTTTTATAATTTGTAAGTCAAATTATAATGAGAGCATTTAATTATCATCACACTTATTGTATTTCATTTTAGACTCAACGCATATACTCTTTCTGGCACAGTGGAGAACCTTTATGAAGATTCTTTCGTTTACAAAGTCTTCTCACCAATCATATTTCCGTTTTTTAAGATTCATTATAATATACTAGTGTTTGGTAACATTTTTTAATATATATTTTCACGGGAATTTGAATTATTCAAAACCTAAATAAACTATTAGGG